ACTCAAAACTACAGACAAATTAAAAGTCATAGAAATACTTCCTTAAAATATGCTGCCAAGAACTTTGCACATTATTCAGGTTTTGTCTGAACAAGGTACAACACAGTGACATTTTATCACCCTGACACAGACAATACATTTGTACTAGCACAAAGTCTTTTAGATTTTTTGGAGGTCTTTTAATATTATTAGTTCATATCACCATTTGTTATTTATGTTTTTATTTGTTACATGTATTAGGTTTTCTTCTGGATGTAACCTGTTATTTTCCTCGGGCTGGTATCAAGGTGTTCTTTTTATCCTTGAGTCACACTAGTTTTAGTATAACATATTTAGCAGTGATTTTCTTCACCTTCAACCTGATTGAGATTTACTAAACCTCTAAAATCAGAACATCAGAAAATCACAAAAACTGTCTCACTAAATTGGGGGCCTTATAGCAATTAAAAATTTTTTTCCTTCTCTCTTCTCTTTCTGGAACTTTAATTACACGTATGTTAGACCTTCCAATGTTGCCCCACAAGTTCTTGAGGCCATTGTTTTCAATCTTTTTTTCCTCTCAGTTCTTCACATTGGATAATTTCTATTGATCTGTCTTTGCCTTGTTATCTCCATTTTCTATTGATCTGTCTTTGCCTTGTTATCTCCATTTTTCTGTTAATCTCATATGGTAAAATTATTTCAGTGATTGCATTGTTTTTAGTTATTTGATTTTTTTCCACATTCTATTTCATTGCAAGTATATTTTCCTTTATAACCATGAGCTTAGGTAAAATTGCTTTAAAATCTGTCTGCTGCTAATTCCAAAATCTGGGTCATCTTGATATTTTTCTCTGTTGATGGTCTTTTCTTTTGAGAATGAATCATAGATTTTTTTCTCCCATTCTTTGGATGCCAAATAATTTTTAACTTTTTTTCTGGGCATTGTGAATATTATAAGTGAATTCTGTTATAGTCTTCCACTGAGATTCTTTGTTTTGTTTTGTCTTTAACTTTAGCGGCCAATTACCTTGCTTGGACTTAAACTGCCAGCTCTTGGGTGGCATCTGATGTTTCAATACAGTTTTTTGATTTTTTGGTGGGCTGCTTTGAATCTACCTAATACATATATGATTCAAGTGTCAAGGTAAAATTCAGTGTAAAATAAATGTCGATTTTCTAGCAGAGATTTTGCCATTCTGCAAGCTGAAGACTGTGACCTGCCCTAAGGCTGAAAACTATAATAAATGGGAAAGGTAGCCTGTGCCTTTCTCTGCTCTCATGTGTTGATGCCCCTCCCCTCCCCAATCTCCATGCTTATGTTCACCCTCAAGTGCCTTCAAATAATTATATTTTGTGCTTTGACCAGGCCTCATAGTTGTTGCCTGATGGAGGGCTGGTCCCATGCAAGCTTATACAGCCATGATGGAAATGAATTTCCTCCTCTTTGTCATTTCTTATTTTGTAAATCTGTGCTTTCTCCATTTTTAAGTTTGATTATTAGCTAGTGATTTGCCTGTGCTGCTTCTGTTCCACCTTCTAGGATTTTGATTTATGAATTTGATTTAAAATTTTTCTGTTCTCTACTTATTATTTTATCTATAATTTTTCCTTCCTTGTGCTTTCTTTTGGTTTATTTTATTGTCCTTTTCTAGTTTTTTATGTTCATGATTTAATTCATTTATTTTTTATTTTTTACTTTTATTGCTGTAACTGTTCAGTGTTATGCATTTTCCTTTGATTATTGCTTTGAAAGAGTCCCATAGATTTTGCTATGTTCTTTATCTGATTTTCATTACCGTCACATTTTTTTAATTAAACGGCTGACATCTTTCTCCTTTCATTCAAGAGTTGTTTAATAAAAAGTTTTCAAATTTCCAGATTGTATTTTGCCACAAGAGAAATGTGTGCAAGATTTAGAAGGCGGAAAAGAGGAAGCAGTCATTTTTAATGCTCTGATGGTAGGTGTAGAACTTGAGATAATGTGGCACTTACGCATGTAGTCACTAATCTGCTAATTCAGTTTTTGGCGTGGGGCGGCATCTAACCTAGCCCCTTCCACTCTCATCAGATCTTGCCTGCTTTCTCAAATCCTGGCCTATGTGCCTATGCAGCTTCATTGTAAAAGGTACCAGCTTTTCCTGCAGGCCTCCAACATCATCAAGGTAGGTCAGAGACAGACTCTGGTTCCAATTTGTCTTTATAGATTCTGGTTCATTTCCACAAGTTACAATTCTCTCTGCTCTCTCTGCTTCATAAAGACTTCAATCCCAACCCAGACTTAGAGGCAACAGTTTGCATAGATTTATCCACAGATTCCACAGTTGGGTATGATTTAATATTTATAATAAATCTCTTGTTCTGTATCACTCATATAGATTGCTTCTCTGATAAAACCCTGACTTCAAAAATTGGTACTGAAAGTGGTTCTAGAGGAATAGAACCTTAAAGAAGAGTTCTTTGAATTGATTCTATGTTATCTGTACTTGTTATTTTGTTGTTGTTGATGTTCTGATTAGGTTGAAAAGCATTAATGAACCTGTATCCAGTGATAAAGGAGACATTGATAGTCCATGAGGCACGTCAGCAAAACAGTTATTTAAATTATCACCTGTGGATACCTCTATAAAAGAGGCACAACTTTGATAACGTCAAGAGGTTGCTGCCGTAGAACAAGTTAGAAAAAATAACTGTAATGAGGTTGGTTGGTTGGTTGTTTCTATGTTAGTTGAAGAACTTGGGAAAAGAAAATTGCCAGTCCATGGTCTAGTTAGGGACAGGAATAATTTTATTGACCTTAAAAAAAATCCCTTATTTCCTATGGCTTCAGGGCATAAAATTCTGGAAAACAAATTTGATGTTTAATCCTAAAAGTGAATGAATTATAACACAGATTGAATTCCTAATCTCTCATGGCCTGTTTGGTTAAAGTTAAGCTACTAAGTATGAAGAAAGGTTCTCTGAAAATTGGAACAGGGCCACATGAGCACATTCTGATAATGCTAGGGGCCTTTTTCTATTTTCTGCCAAGTATCCTTTACTCATAAAAGCAGCCCTTTATGTCCAAATGTCAAGTTAGTGTCCTCTTGCCTGAAGACCCTGTAATGGCCTACTCTGATATAATTTCAGAATAATTTCATACCTTCATAAGTTCAGGAAACTACTGATCCTCCTGAGGAACTGCCCCTACCATTTCTCATTGTTTCTAGTCCTATAAACAGACTTAAGTATTAACAATCCCCAGAGTATAAAGTACAAAGTGTAACCTTTGAAGAGGTGTATTATACACAAAAGGAACTGCAAAAATTTACCAATTTATATCAACAGAAATCTTGGAAACATACATGGGAATGGATCCTAAGATGTTCAATGAGGGTGGAAGGAACATGCTGTTGGATTGGGTCTAATATATGGCTATTGGTAAATTAGGACACAATTCTGTATTCAAAACGTTGCTGTAGGTAGCTGGAAGACGCCCTAACAGTTTGCTTGCTTGGTTGACTAAAACCTGGACCCAAAAGTGATCTACACAGAATGAAGATAAAACGCTTGCTAGACCTTCCATGATATACTGTAAAGAAAGATATCCAAAGGTTTAGGAAGACAGGAATGCTAGAGTAGAGTAAGACATGCTCACCCACTCCCTAAATATACCCCCCAGAGAGTCCAGATGATACTTCCTTCACTAGGAATGTGCAAAAGACATTAGTGAGAAGAGCCCTGATGTCTTATGATGGCTATTCTCTACAGGCCAGGTTTGGTGGTGGAAATTGCTGCTATCAAACTGGGTTGCCTGATTTCAACGATGATGATGGGATTCCTGGTGTCACAGGCCATGTGGTGGCACCAAATCACCAAAGAAAAGAAATGTGTGGATACTGGAATGAGAAGCAGAGCCAAAATCAGTAATAGGAATGGTCTGACTGGCAGAAATCTTTAGTATTATCTAGTCGATCCCGGTATCCCTAGAACTGATATAAATGGACAGTCTCCTAAAGTTTTACTTAATTTGTGTAGGTGGAAAGCTCTACATTTGGTGAACAGAGGACTGACAGAAATCACTACAATTACCAAATAGAACAGAGGGTTTAACTGAACCAGGACCGTGCAGGCACTGTTCCCAGCTACATTGGGTTAGGGTGTACCTCTCATAGTAACAATATCATGGAGTTCAAAACAACCTGCAGTTGAAATTAAAAAGCAATTGTAGAAGAGAGGTATTAGTGATATAGCAAAACCCTGCCCTGGTGGAGGAGCCGTTTAACTGGTGGACAAATCATCCCTCAAGCTTATGATTTGGGGTTGCAGATATTCCTTATCACGCTGTGCCTGTGAACTCAGTAATTTCTTGGGTACTGCAGACCTGTTGGAGGTCCTGCTGATGTGATTGTGGATGATAGATGGAGAATATTGAGCAAACTGGAAGACTTAAGGATAGGTAGAAGAAACAGTGTACTTCATTGTGGAGCACTAGCGTTCCATGACCTGCTGCTTTTGAGGTTTTCAAAACCATCAACAAATGAACATTTTCCATTTCTAGTCCTGGTGAGGTCCAGCTCTGCTGAGATGTCTCAGTATCCTGATAAATCTTTGTTTTTTTCATGTCTAACAAAAACTGTTACTGGAATAATTCCATTCTCCTATAACAACTCCTTTAATATAACTCCATGAGTATTGATGTAAAACTCATCAGAGAGGTCTTTGGGATTTTTCTCAGTATTGAATGTGTATTAAGGATCTGATTTCTGTTCAGCACTGCTATGTGGTGCTTTGATGTAATACAAAAGGTATCAAATATGTAGTTACCGTTAGGCAGAAATTAATCTACAGCAGTTATGGACTACATGTTTGTGTACCCCACTCCAAAGGTACATGTTGAAATCCTAACCCCCAATAGAATGGTATTAGGAGGTGGAGCCTTTGGGCTGTCATCAGGTTCAGATGAGGCCGTGAGGGTGGAGCTCCCATGATGAGATTAGTGTCCTCATAAGAAGACAGAGACTAGAGAGCGCTCTCTCTAGTCTCTCTCTCCACCGTGTGAGGATATAGCAAGAAGATAGGCCATCTGCAAACCAGGAAGAGGGCCCTCACAGGACACTAAATCCAACGGTACCTTGATCTTGGACTTCTTAGCCTCCAGAACTGTACAAAATAAATGTTTGTCATTTAAGCCATTCATTCTATGGAATTAGTCATAGCAGCCCAAGCAGACTAATACAGCAGCATAGGCCATGGTCTGTTCTTTGAGGCAGCCAAAAGTGGAGTGGGGTGGGGGGGTATCTACATGTGCACACCCATTTGGAAATATGTTGGACTACTTATTTAAATAAATAATAATTTAAATAAATAAATTTAAGATAGGACAGTTCAATTTGAGTTTCTGATTAGCAAAAATATGTGAGAGATTTTGCTGGAAAACCCAGAAGGCAAATTCACTTTGTTGTGGATTCTATCCAATTAATCAAGATCTTGATAGAAAGACCACATCTCTTATATATTTTCCACATTTCCAATATACTTTACTCCATAGCAATACTGACTGTGCTTAGGGTATATTGGAGTATCACTAAAAATGAGCCTATTATGCAACAGGATGACAGAAAGAAAATAAATCTCCCTTTGCTACATTTTATTCATCTCTGTTCTATGACATTTTCCTTCTCAAATTGACCTCTTAGGTAGCCAAAACACAGTCAGACCCTTTGATAATGGCACAGTCTATACACACATTTTCTATGAGCCTTTATGCAGCTCATATAAATACTGTAAGAAGTGTCATTCCAGACTCGAAGATTTTTCTTAATATAATAAGAACTCTCCTCTCCCCACTTATCATCTTGAAGTCTCTCTTTTCTCTACTCTCATAAAATGTGAGAAGAAGCTTCTTTCAGAAGGTTGTTAAAGTTTGTTTTGCAGTCCACTGGTTAATAATGAGAATTCCTGGTAGTTTAATTTTGATGTGTTTCCTAATTTGGGTTTAATTCTATTCAACCCAATAGATATCAGAGTAAAGAAGTACGTATTACTATGAAAATGTATTGTATTACTATGAAGTTTGATGATATTTTAAATAATTTAATACAGAGCACTTTCTACTCTAGTAATTTTAATGGCCCATATGAACCATAGAAATTTCGAAAAACAGTTACAGGAAACAGAACTATCACTTGGAACAAGCAAGCTGTACACTAGAAATTATCCCACAGGGCAGCATTACATTGACTAGTATTCCATGGCTCAAGGGCTGACCCCAACAGCTCAAAGATTGAATTATCACCATACTAACGTTGGACACACACGGCAGAGTGGACTCACATTAATCATGTTGTAGAGCTGAAATATAAGATCGTGGTCTCCATGTATTAATTTATAGTGATGAAAATAGCTATATCTCAGTCTGCAGTACTCACTTTGACATGGCATTGATTTTCTTTCTGTATGTAGACCTAAATGAGGTATGGATATTTTCTCAGTGAGAACAGTTCTGTAAAATCGGTGGTTTTGGATGTGCGAGGTATTTTTGCTGGTGTTTCTCCCTCCCTGGAGCATGCTCATAATGGTACTGCAATATGGGCTAGAGCAACTCCCCTTTCCCCGAGCTGACCATCCTTCTCACCTCCTCGCACCACCACCAGACACCAGGTTCTGATTGGCACATCCTTGTTTGACATCAATCTTGTGTCACTCAATTCCTTGATCCAACAGCCATTCTTTTTAAGTTGCCTTTGTGTGTGTCCTATTAAACATTGATTTCATAGATTCACTTTCAAACAGTAATCCATTTCTTTCTAAAATTTATTTTCAAATTCTTGGAGACTTCCTCTCTGTAGACTCCAACTACTGACAACAGGTAAAAATAATTTTACATAATTGATTAGAAATTGAAATGTGGTAACTTAAAACAAGTCTGAAAAGAGAAACATGATTAAGAATTATGAAGCAGAGTTCATGACAGTCAGCCATTAAGAAAGCTGAGTTCAAAGTGGATGTCAGAAAAAAAATATCTTTATGATTCTTGGGAATAATATCACTTCCTTTTGGGAACCACACATTTATTACTAACACTACAAAAGACAGTAGTGTATAAAAAGTGAAAAACCCATATTATAATATTTTTCCCACCCTAGTATTAATTTAAAATAAGAAAAATAATGACATTTAGGGCTGGAATAATCACTTTGACATGAAATTAATTTTCTCTCTTATATAGAGATTAATGTCTATTTCTTCAGAATAAACTAACCTCATCCATCACATAGACAGTAGCTGTGGGCTCCTTAAGGTCTCATAGATAACATGGGCTAGCAGAGCCTAGGGGAATATCTAGGATCTCTATTTCAGAGAAGAAAGATTCATGACAAGTGAAAAAATCTCAGCCACAGAAGGTGGATGTTAAATATAAAAACAGGCATTGGGAGGAAAAGTAAAGAATATGATCATTCATCTATGATTCCATTTAACATTTGAACGGAATTTTCATTTTTTCTTCAGATATTCTAGTATCCTCTAGATATAGCCAAATACAGCAGCATGGGGCAAGTAATCTTCAATAGTCCTGAATGTGTCAACCTCAGCTACTGAAATTTACTATTATCATTATTTACTTATTTATTTATATACCTTTTTCTTTCTTTCTTTTTTCTAATTTTACTACCTAAATGCCTAATATCAAGAATTGGGATACTATCATGTATTTTGAGGAATATGAGGTAGGAGTAATCAACAATGCAGAAAAAGAAACAGTTCTAAATATCAATTGGTATAAAGTTTATGAAAACTTCTGAAACTTCCTTCCTTCCATATTGTAAAGATTTGCTTTCTCTGATTTTTAAAATTATTATTTTGAGTAGAAGGAACTTTGGATGTCAGCTACTTTGCCCCTACCTTATAAAAAATTGCCATCTACAACAGGGAAAGATGCTTAGAAAATAAGTTTTTCTGTTCTTTCCATATGAATCATATTAAACAGTCTTAAAATTAGTCAAGTTTGCATTCATTTCTTTAAAAAATTTAGAAGTTTGACAACATCAAGCATTGACAAAAACAAGGAGTAATGGAAACTCCCATACTCTACCAGTGGTGATGTAAATTTTGTACAATGAATCTGCAAGAATTGGCTTCGTTCAGAATCCCAAGATCCTGTCTTGTAATTCTTCCCCTAGGGTGTGCCATAGCTGCCTACTGTGTCTTTTCCCACTACTGACACGCACATGCAATGCCATGGGGCCTGTTAGATCATAATGCCCAAGCTTCAGCACTGCTTGCACCACAGCCTGGACCTGTCACTGAGCCCGTTCCTAATTAACGTCTACACAATGTTGACAGTTATGTGTCACTTGGTGTATGGGCCAGAGCGGTAACTGCTAGGTACGGAATGTATTATCTCTATAACTCAAAGAGGCCTACCAGGCCCCTGCTTTCTTTGTCGTAGCAGAGGCAAGCTGCAGCAGTTTGTCTTCTACGTTAGAGTGGTAGATATCCCAGTAAGCCCTCTACCATTGGACCCCTAAAAACTTCACTAAAGTGTCAGTTCCCTTAATTTTCATAGGCCTTATCTTCCACTCTCCAGAGCCCAAGTGTCTTACCAAGGTCTCCCCGATAGGACCCACCTCTTGTTCATCCTGCCTGATTTGCATGGTATCATTGACATAATAGATTGGTCTGATGTTTTGTGGGATGTCCAGGTGGCCCAGATCTCTTCAGACTACATTATGACAGAGAACGGGAGAGTTAATACAGTCTGAGGCAAAACTGTAAATAAATAGTGTCTGTTCCACAAGTGCAAACTGTTTCTGATTCTCTTTTCTAATTGGAATAGAAAAGGAACACATTTGACATATCAATGGCTGCCTACAATATACCAGAGGCATCATCAATCTGCTCTAACAGTAATATCGGGTCTGGCACAGCAGCTTCAACTGGGGCTTCTACTTGGTTAAGCTGGCAGTAGTCTACAGGAATTTTTCAAAATCCTGTCAGATTTTTCAGGAGCCGTACTGTCAAATTAAAGAGAGAGAGGTTCAGGACCACTTCCTCCTTCATCCTTTAGGTTTATAACAGTGACACTAATCTCTACTGTGCACCCTGAGGATGTGATACTGTGTTTGATTAACTACATTTGCTGCAATAGGAGGGTAGTTTTAGAGGTTTGCTATGATATCTGTTACTTGAGGCCACTGACCCAACATGGGGGTTACCCTGGTTGCTAAGCATATCAATTCCAATTATCCATTCTGGAACTGGAAAAATGACCACTGGGTGGGTCTTTAAGTGGAATGGGCCCACTGTGACTTGAACTTTATCCAGGGCATCATTTTTTACTTGTTCCCTCAAGTCCCCACTCAAGCCAGAGGTGGGAGATGGGGAAGAATAGTGATTTGGGTCTCTGGGTATCAATGTCCAAGTCAGACACTCTGTCATCATTTCTCAAAATGTCTAGGTATTCTCCTTTCTCCAGTGTAAAGTCACCCTTTTAAGGGTCCATAGTTCCCTTTGGGGAAGAACTAAAGGGATTCTTATGGTATTTTCTTGTCATAGTGTTGCAGTTTTTCCTTCTAGAGACCTGAACATCTTTTCAGTTGTTGGGTTCTGAATATAAAAATTAGCTCAGATTTAGTAACTGAACAAGGAATCACAACTACTTTGGGGGCAAACACACTCAGCCTCCTGCTCCTCTATTTTTACCTTTTCTTGGTTGCAGATGTTCAGCATCACCCTTGTTGACACCTTGCCTTACCAGTTTGCCTCTAGGAACGCCAGACTCCGTTAATCCTCTCAAAAACTTCTTGAAGGTAAAGTCCAATCAGGTCTTGCTGGTCATTATGGTAATTACAGCCTCCTGGCTGCTGGCATTTAAGCATCAACACCTGGCCTCTATTACTTGGGGGCCTCATCATCCCCTTGAATATTAACCAGCCCAGTCCATGACCACTGCTAAATCTGGCACCTTACTTGTCATAGAATTCAGCGCCAAAACTCCACAGGTGTTGTTGCTAAGCTCACACATTAGCTCAGTTTTTAAACAGCCATCCTAAAGTTCTATTGGGCCAGCAGCTTCAGACGATGCCGCATATACTAAGATCAGTGGAT